ACACCACGCGGCTCCAGTGCGGATTATTGGGTACTAGCGACTGCAGATGCAGCCGGGATCAACGGCTTAACGAAGTGCCTTCCGAAGCACGGAGGAACTTGAGATAGAAGATTTTTGGTCACCCATCCAATGACCGCGAAAGTTGCTTAACTTCAACGTTCTCAGCCGAATGCGCTAACCAACCGCGCCATCGAGCTCCTGTGCAGTTAAATAATAATATTCAGTTCGAAGAAAATTCAACACTTTTAGCAAATGACTCTTTTAGGGATTTTGACAAACAGTTCAAACATTTTCTTTAAAAAAAACTTATATTCTTAAAAAAGAATAAAGGAACGGAGCAGGAAAGTAAGAAGAATAAAGAAACGAAAAAATAGTTCGCAACATTGTTCTTCTATACAAAAAAGATATATATTATATAAAGCTTTTTCTGTGTCTATACTATAATTAATACTTATACAAAGCAGATGGTCATATAAGTTTCTCAGACGGAGTGCAAAGTCCAATGAATAAAATAGCAAGTAAAGATTAGCCTACTCCAACATTTATAATGTGAATGTTTGTATGATTGTTATTCAGTCACGGAAAAACAGCTGGACGGAACTGGATTAAGACATACAATATTTTTCATCCTGGAAAAATATCAGGCTCCTATGAGATTCTAAAAAAATGTAACTAAGACTATCTTTTTTATTTATTTATTTATTTACTAATTTAGTACACACACAATAAAACAGATAAGTAGAACAAGAATGAGAAGTTTGTACAAGGGCACTACTTATTTCATATTGAAATTTTCAGCAGGCCCGTGAAAGGAAAGAATATGAAAAAAATCCGTCAATGTGTGCCTCCTGAATATAAATAACAAAATACAATACGTACATAAACAAAAACCTACAAAAAAATATATAAATATGTACATTTCTTTGTTTAGTCTTGCTGGCATACTACAACTTCCTCTTCGTTTAGCTATCCTTTACCGCAAATGTTGTCTTAGAGATCGCTTAAAGCTATAACGCCGCCTTTACCCACATTATGTTTTTGTTTACTATTTTCGTACTCTTTTGTGCGTGTGCAATAAAAAAATTATCTATCTAAGACGGGGACTAAGTCGCGGACGGAAGCTCGTTAAATCATAAATCCGCTGTACGACAACTCGCATCGTCATCAAATCGTAATAATATTATCAATCTCATTTGAATAAATCAAGGTCGTGTTATGTAATAAAGTTACTAGATGAGAAAAAAAAATACAATAGATTTTTTTTTACACTCATTACGTGTATACCAGTTTTAACATCACGTGTTGCATCACTTTTGTTATATTTTTTTCGAATAGACAAACCTGTATGTCAGTCAACTAATTTCTTAACATAAACGTATCATATAAAATTATTATATGTATAATTATTAGTAACTATTTTTATAGTTATCTTAGTTATGTTGCTAGAAATAAATGCTTTTTTTGTTTTTTTTTTTTATTATTAAGTATAGACATTTTGTGCCAAACCTGTTTGGATGATCACACTAATTAATAAACATTTGTTAAATTAATATTTTTTGTAAGAATAAAAACACTTTATTATTATTAGCTAACAAAATTGTTATAAGAGTCAATACAATAGCTAGCTAGCTTAGCTCTACTTCAGTCATCTTTAGATTATTCATAATCCCTCAGGAACTTCAATTTTTACGAGATGAAAAGATTCCTATATCTTAATCCAGGTAATAATTTATATGTATAAATGTGTCTTAAATTTCATCTAAATTCGATCAGCCGATTTTGTGTGATTTAGTACAAATAAACTTTCACATTTATAATCTTAGTGGGATAGGATTAAAATACTTATTTTTATAACAATGCAAGTGATTTCTTTTTCTAAGCTTTACGATTGATAATGCTAATGCTGTCTTTTATTATTTCTTTGGTCAAGTTTCAAGTTTAATACGTAAATATTCATGTTTCAATCTAGTTTTAGTAATTTTGAATGTTATCTTGTCAATAAAAAAAAAGATACGTTTAAACAAATGGAAAGATTATAATTTTTATTTTTTAAGCATGTAACTGCTTGATGTTTAAATCTAAAGAAAATATAACTAGAAAAATCGCCTGGATTGCGAAGGGTGAGGGTTCGAGTCCCGTCTGCTGCCTGGCCCGCGTGGAATTTTTTCTAGTTATATTTTCTTTAGATATGAAAAGATGTTCTATTCTGATAAACATTACCAATTAACATCATATTAAAAATATTCTGCTATAAAATACGTTAATAATAATATAAATAGTAAATAACTCCATAAACACGAGACTACGTTATCATTCATAGAACTCTCGCAGCGCAGCGGTACAACGCTCAGAATAGCCCGTAACGCCATCTGTTGAGTAACTGTGACTCAAGTTTCCGTCGGAACTCTCTCGTAACATTGGAAGCGTCATAATGATATGCAACATTTAAAAATTCTTAATTAATAGCAGATATTAAGAATTTTGTATTATATAATGTTTTTTAGGTTTTCACGCACATCACTCATTAAATAAAACATTTAACATTATTCTGACGATGCAGACCTGAAAAGGCTGCGAAACGTCAATAAATAAATAAAGTTCGTGCAATTTACTGTTAAAACTAGTTTTAGTTTTATTTATGTTTGCAATATTTGATATTTTGTCAACAAAACAATAATTCTAAGAATAATATGGGAATTCTGCAATAATTCCCATATTAATCTTAGAATTATTGTTTTGTTGACAAAATAATTCGAAAATATATTTAGGTGGGTTTTTTATTTATTTATCTTAATGCTATATCACCTTCTTTAAATCCTACCACCTTATAAGAGAATATCATCAGCATTAGTGTTTTAAAGTCCTCATGGCTAAGGCACATGTCTTCCCATAGATTTCATCAAAATTCAATACCGTTTATTCAGTCTAAACTGTTACGTCTATATGAGATAGAGTGATCTGTTATTATAATAACGTGTATGTTCATAATTAAATATTACGTATTATTCTTCGAATAAGATGTAAACATAAATATTTTGCTAATTCAAAACATTCCACAGTTAAATGTACGAAATTTTTATAATAAGCCAATGACGCATTTATTTACGGAATTTTGAACCCTGCTCACTAACTGGTTTTATGATCTTATTTGTGACATAACGCGGAATAATTGTTTTCAAGTACGCATAATCTTTATTTGTGACAAGAGTTTGTTTTATTAATTGAGTACTTAAATATTGATTTAATGACGTAACGTGCATATTTTATCATCAGACTATCAATGTCCTCACTGCTGGGACACAGGCCTTCGCTATGAATGGAATAGGGAGTTTAGGCCATGACCCACCACGCGGGCCCAGTACGGATTTGCTGGTGCATATTTTACTATTTGTGTTTTTTTTTGTTTCCTCACTTTTAATAATGGGCTTGGTATGTTCTCGTATCAGAACATATCTTTGGTCCCAAAATCCGTTACCGTAGACTACTAGGCAGGAAAAAAACCAGAAGTTTTTTTTTTAATTATCTAGCAATAGAATCGTCTTAGCATACCTGCCTTTTGGTTATAGATAAAAACATATTTCCCCATATTTTAATTGGATAACTTTTTCTTTTAATTAATTTGCTATGAGAAAAGGTTATTTTTAACATTGATAATGATATCGAAGATACAGACGAAGTAAACCTATTCTGAGTTTAAAAATATAAATTAAGTTGGAAAAGAAAATGGAAATATAAACTTAGTTTCTTTTTTCTATATTATTTTTTTAAAAATCGCGTGGTATCTGAATGTGGTGAGTCATCACACGATAGTAAATGAACTTTGCCTAAGTATATTTCTTTCTTCTCGGAACATATCTGAATCATCGCCATTAAAAAAGTGAGTTATTGCACTATTTCAATATTATAACATAAATTACGTATCTCCGAAAACAATCTTGTGACTATGATTCACTTAGTACTTTTCTCGAATCTTCTAAATTTTTAGTACCTAGCTATTATAAAAAAAAACAGTATTACATATTTCCATTTTGTGAAAAAAATTATAAGTTTTTTTTTATTGTTATGTTCATCACATAAGGAAACGACTGAAAAAATTCATGTCAGCTGAAAAACATGAAATCTCTATTTGATTACCTATTAACTTAAAACACTTAAACAAATATTGACATTATACATCTACTCTACGTTAACCACAAACAGATTAACGATCACAAATCATACATCCAAACTCTATTCTCACACATCATCAGCCTATTAATGTCCCCACTGCTGGGGCACAGGCCTCCCCTATGGATGGATTAGGGAATTTGGGCCATGACCCACCACACGGGCCCAGTGCGGGTTAGTGCGTGCTAACGACTGCAGATGCAGCCGGGACCAACGGCTTAACGTGCCTTCCAAAGCACGGACGAGCTCGAGATAGTAAATTTTTGGTCACCCATCCAATGACCGACCACTACAAAAGTTGCTCAGCTTCAACGACCGCAGCCGACCGCGCTAACCACCGGCGCCATCGAGCTCCTAATTATTATATTCTTCTACTATATAGGTATTATATTCTCACACAATAAATAAAAAATATTAAAACAAAAAAGCTTTAAATTTCATTCGTAAAAATCATTCTTCACAGTCGCATTGTTAAAAAAGATGCTCTACATAACTAGCAAAAGAACAAAAACACAAATAATTAAATCATTACGCCATCGGAAAAAAAACAACATAGTTATCAAACGATTACTGATTTCGGAGAACACAGAAGCGGCAAACATATGAGTCAATAGTGAATTAGCTAAAAAAATCGGACACTACATTGACTCAATAGCGGGCGACTGAAGCGTTTATACTTACTCGGGGTAAATTACGTAAATATATACTAACACAGGCGCAACGCTCGCACACATGCGCAGTTACTCACACAGAGGTAGGCTTTGCGTGTGTGCGCGGTGCACGACGCTGAGCAAGTTGCCCGTCGACCCCACTACGAAATTTAGTCTCACTCCAGCCTTCCTAGACTGCAGACGTGTCCATCAGTACCAAACGACGCCATTCGCATTGGATATTTCGTCATAACAACATTGTGATAGTGAAACGTTACTACAGGACGTGAAAAGTGGGAGTGATATAACTAATTATTTTATTTCTTCCGAAGGAACTGTGAACTTGATTTAGATATAGAAAGATTGTGGATTTGATTTTTGTTATATTATAAAGTGATTATGACATTTGGATAATTCCGGACAAGGAGTTCATAAATACCGCAAATATTTTTGTAAGTATTTTTAAACTTTTTTATTTTCTTTTTCAAAATTTTTGCTGTCCTCGTAGACCTTGATTATTTTCTTTTGTTCAGTTAAGTTTTTTCTTTTTTTTCTGGAACTGAGAAAAGTTTTCATTACTCGCTGGACGGTTGCAAAACAAATCGAGAAAGTGAAAACAACATACATTTTTCATGGTTCCTTTTAAATAAATTTTCATTTCAATATAGAATAGAATGTGAAGATTGCTCTTGGGAAATTAATATTAAAAAAAAGATTGTATTTGAATTTCATAAGGAGAGAGTATTTTCTTGTATGCGAATAAAGTTTCAGTGACTAACAAATCAGTTGAAATCACCAAGCAACATTTTTCATTTGTTCAGTTCAAAGAATTAGTTTTTCACGCGACCCGTGTCATTGACTTCTTTCGTCAAATTTTGTTTACTCATGTTTTCGGCTGCGTGCCAAAATTATGACGCCACAATCATTACATTGGATTCTTTCAAGAAAGTTCCTTTTTTGTCTGGAATAAAAATAAATTTTGATTTCCTGGTTCGAACATTGTTCGTTTTATCTTTACATTATCAACACATATATATTTAAATTTCGATTAGTTTCATTGTGTCGTAAAACATTTTTTTTATCATTTAATGTCACCTGAACAACATTGAGTCGGTTGTTGATTATTTTGTTTTATCTATGAACGTTATGTCATTGTGACGATAAATTATTATATTCGGCCAGACTGTCATTAAACGATAAAAAATAAAAGACGAACGGTCGCAATTTGAAAATGGAATAATTTTTTTATATTCGGCCAAGCTGTCATTAAATGAGAAAATAGAACATGAATGTTCGAAAATGGCAATTTGAAAATGGAATTTGAACGGAAACTTCGCAAGCGTTCGGAAACGCATGCGATATTCAGCTATTAATTGGTACCTGGTAGATTGCAATGGGCCACAAGTTACTTGCAACGCTTTCGTAACCTGCGCCTGGTACGGAGTGCTGTCGCAAACAATTGTGAACGTTACACAACTGGTTCAAGGTTCCAATACGGCGTGCATTCGCCTGCGGATGTGCGGAAATCGAGCTTTATGCGGCAAACATTGTTTATTTTAGCCACTGCAGATTTAGGCTGTAATATGAAAGAGGATTTACTTCACTAAATTTTTAAGTATATTATATATATTTTTTTTAAATAAGACTGTAATGATACAAAATAATTTGAATGGTAACTTTAAAAATTACAATTAATTGATAATAATTTTTCTCCACTTCCGAGAGATAAGAAAAATAAGAGCGAACAAAGGTTATCATGGAAATGTGGATATTTCGCACCATTCACATGTGAATTACAAAGTTCAATGTTCCGTTGATAATTACTTGTATTGTGCGCCACTTTATCTATCACACATGCATGTTTCGAAGTAGATTTAACTTTTTGGTGTAGATTGCTTGCTCTTGGCTATACGGATCAACTTTTTAAGTAAAGAGTCTATTCTTAATTTAAAATTTTAATTTAAACCAAAGTTAAATTTCGAATTTCGAACTCCATTTCGAATTTCGAGCTCCAGTTTCAGCGTGCACGTTGAATGTACTCTTTAGTTATGTACAAAACAAATGGCAGGCGGCCGTGCACTGCGATCGATCGTTGTAAAGGTCAGTTTGTTCTATGTCAACGTATGACGCAACGTGGTGTGGGGCTATTGCGCAATCTACTGCAAGAGGACGAATAACAATCGTATCGTATTTGCAGGCCCGTTATCGGCGAACTTACGAATAACCTCAGACAAGCTAAATCCTGATCGTATCGAAACTTTTGTTTTTTGTCACATTGTTATTTTATAAATCATAAGACGCGCAAACCACCAGCGCCCGCAAGGCCGCAAAGAATTTCCTCTTTGTAAAGCTAAATTTAAAAACACAAAGGGGCGTAACGAATTCAACAGTCGTATCTACGCAAAATGCATTAAAAGTACAATGATGTAATGCAGGAACTAAAGCGCAAGGTTGTCCGGAAGGTATCGCCGAGTTCCTTAAGGTCAAAACTGTATGCATTTATTTATTTAATCATGAATCATGACTCGCAACATACGTTACGGATTAAAAAAGCATCTCGATGCACGAAGATTTGGGCCTTGGCTCGATTATAAGCTACACGCAAATTCGGTCACGAATGATGAAATCATCCATTTACCTTCAACGTTAGAGCCCTTATTATTACAACTGACTTTTAAAAATGTTTTAAAAACATTAAAAAATAAATCTGTTGAAACGGCTAATCTAAGAATCCAAGCTAATTCGTCGCACCGAATTAAAAAAAATAATATACGAACATTACTTGTTCTTAAAAAGAGGTTGTCTTACGTAATTTCTTTTTGCCGCGCAATAACATTTCATCGCGAGGACAAGCGAAGATAACTTGACCCATTTTTTTTATCTCGCTCGCGTAACTAACCCACTTACAAGTGCGCACGTGAGCGTACAAACCAATAGCGTCGAAGTGGAGCGTTGTGACGTGTCCTGTACGTTTTGATGGCCTAACTGTATGATGACCATCTAAATTGGAGCATGACGCAACTTCGATATCTCCAGTCACACAATGAAAATCGGGGAATTATCAGCAGTGATACCGCCAAATAAATGCCCAATGACTCATGCTATTTTCAGCAAAACCAACACTATAATCCGTGCTGACCAGCTGTTTACTTCCTCAAAGTATTTACGTAACGCTCCGTTGTCAAATTAGAAATATATAGAAACTAGCGCAGCAGAAATAGGTTAAGTGTTTCTTAATAATGAAGCAATTAGCCCGTGTACCAAGGTCAGACAGAAGTAGAGCTGTCTTTGTTATAACACGAGCATTAACTGTACGTTTGCAGCATCATGTTTTGTTGGAGAAGCGAGCGGTGCAGCAGAACGGGATAGACCTTGACACGTTTACGGTGGAACTCCCGGGTTACGAAACGAGACCTTGACACCAAACCGTTATCGCGTCGACCGATAGAGGCCGCCCCAAAATAACAACGAGAATCCTCGCTTTTAATCAGGCCTCGCGCTCGGTACGTATGCGAAAAATCGGTCAAGTATAAACGGTCTTCGGGACGTTTGAAACACTTCCAGAAACTGCGACCTCATCGGAAACCTTCCGAGACAAAATATAACATGCGGAAGGATGACTAGTGCGCGCCAAAGACAAAACATTACACCGGCGCTATCTAAGTTTTCAAAACATTCGCATCTTATCATTACCTGCACAATGACCGCTTGGCGCCAATCTAGCAATCGCCAGCTGCGGATGACTCTACACAAGTGTTATGGCAATCAAAGTTTTGTTGTTAAAGCATTTCCATTAAAATATTAACCGCTGCGATTCCTCACTTGCTCTAGGCACCTTCGGTGGATATGTCAAATCAAAAATGGCGGTCGGCCTACTTTTCCCGCGCATTCAACGGCAGCGTGCGCGTGGAAAGTTACCACTGTACTACTTTCTCCACTTTTTCCAAGATGGCGGGTTTATCCATTATTGTTTCTAGAAAGGTCAAGAGCGACGAATCATTTCGTAAAACTATAACATATACTGTTAAAATTGTTACGAGCCTTAACACACATAAATACAAACATATTGTTATCCGACCCTGACTTACAAATTGTTATTTGTTTAGAGCTCATAATATTGCTCAGCTTATTTATTAAACAACGTAGTTGTAGTAACGTTTCCGTTTTAGTACGACCGACAGACGAGAGAAAAACATTGAAGTATTTTTAGACTGTGAAGCAAACTATGACCTAATCTGACCGCTTTGTTACTTCAACCTCTAAATCTTCGGCAGGAGCAAGAGAAAAAATATAATATATAAAATGGTTACAATCAGAATTGTCAAATTCGAAAAAGGAATGCAGTCTGATTAGCGGTCAAGGGCAAGCCGATTACAGTTGATTTTATCAATTAAATTTCCACGTTTGCGGTCACGTTGTGGTTGTATAACGGTGCAGGCGGAGAGGAGCGAACGTGCTGGTGTTACGCAAGCGCAACGTGAGGTTCAAGTGTAGGCACGTGTCTTGCGCCGCGTGACGCCTCCACGTGGCCAGGAGGCGCGGGAAGGTCAGCAGCCTCCACCCTATTTGTCGTGTCTAATACGCAAACCGGGTGGAACCAATAGAAAATACCTCTCCAGCGCATCCAACATGACTTTTACCGCTATTAAAAAAAAAGAATTAAAAAAAACATTCAAATTTCGAAGTCGCTATTCGAAATATAGAGCTCCTTTCTTTTTTTTAATCTACTAATTGTTATTTTGAATTTATATAGTTTTCTATTTATTCTTAATTTAAATAACTAATTACATATTGCCACTTTTGCCGATAAAGAATCCTCTGTCTATCTCTACCGCATTCAACCACTTCCTATTGTGCAAGGGCATGAATAAAAAGTATTGGCTTTTAAACTTAACCCAGCCATAAAAACATGTTTCTCTATTTTTATCGTTTCCTTTATAGTTATTTGTAGTAGGAAATCTTTTCCATAGTACTCATGTGACTTTTCTAGTTAAAAGTAAAACGTACACACATTGCGATCATAAACAAACATGTTTATCGTGGAAAGATATTGAGTAATTTAGAAATAGTTATCTAATTCAAATTGCATACTATTTAATGGAATGTCAAATTGGTAGGTATAGTAGACTTTGCAATTCGTAACTAATCCTTTGCCTTTCTTAACTTATAGCACGTGATGACTGTAATAATTAAAAAAGGAACGAGACTATCGCGCTTGGGCCGCACGTTTCCCGACCTCAGCCATGCAGTCACGTGTGGCTCATGTTGTGACAATGTAAGCGCTACACAACGCGTCATGTTTCATGCATTACTAATGCAGTTATTAATCTAAGATTATCTAGGAGAGTGTGCCAACAGTACAAGCAGTCACATAAAACCTATAATGAAAACTTCGTACTTACCTATATTTTTGAATTACGAAAAACTTTTACATTCTGACATTACGATACTTTTTTTTAATAACGCAAAGAATAAGGCTGAATACAATTGCACAGTTTGCAATATCAAAAAAAACAACAGTTACCCATTCGTAATTAAACATATTGCCACAACTCAACCTTGAATCCAAAGCAAATAACCGCTAAAGCAAGTGACGAAACAGCCGTTTCATAACAGTATTACGGGTTGGAAAATGCGATGAGTTAAAAACCGTTTTTGGGTACCGTACGGTCCCAGATTCGGGGTAACGGTTGTCTCGAAAAAGTACCTACTATGATTAGTGATAACTGTCGATTGACGGTCCGGTTGTGCAACCATTGGCACAATTTTATGTCCCAGACAGATTAAAAAAGTCATTAATCTAGCAATCTTCTGAAACTGTTCTTATATGAATGCTTCCTTTTTTTAATCAGATTTTTACTTGAGTTTTTACCTACATCATATTTATTTAAGATAAGCTTCAATTCAAATATCAATTCTATTTTAAATTTGCCACTATTTTTTTTTAATTATAAAACTAGAATTATTCTTCGCTCGTCCATCGACTGTGCTCTTTTAAGTTCAATCCTATAATTCTCGTCTAGTTAAATCCTATAGTTAACTGTTTGATTAGAACCGGTATTTAACTGTCTGTGCTCCTCGAAGCGTCAATAATAACGGATGAGATGTTTTTAGCCGGTTGCAAACAAAGTAGCTCACTTTGATGTTTACAAGTCTATGTTGTTAATAGTACTGTTACAAAAAACTAGTTTAATTAATAGAAATTTACAATTCAGGATTGTCCGTATTACCAAATTACGAATATAGCAAAACATTAACTGTTATATTTAGAAATTTCGCCTTGATTTAAGTAGCAACTAAAAAAGTTACACAAAAAATATAGGTAATTTGAAGAGTTTTTTAACACTATGTAACTGTTCAACATAGCATGGACTTCACCCGCATAATATCTATGTAACTAACTGATAGTCCCTTGTGAAATAAATCGGTTCGGTAATAGAGTTATGCACGGATGAACGATTTTAATATCACGTAAACTATTAAGTCCATAGTGATAATGAAATAGTGAACCCGATTCTGTCGACCACATAACCGTTAAGTAACCTTCACTTTCTGATCATAGACAAGCTATGCCGCCTTTTTTAAAATTGCGTTCCAGTGCATTGTATTCGAATTACAAAATTTTGAAAAAGTATACACTACTTCACGTGACCCGCTAACGTTCGTGCTAATTGAAGTGAGCCGGTCCCACTGACATTTCCCCAGTCACAGAGTGATCCGTAATTAAACGCGGGCGATCGTTTGAACAGTTAGCGTAACGGCGCGCGCGCACGCCCCACTGACACCGATGCCACCTCTCGGAAGAATACAACCTCATTTCTGTTGCAGCCGGTTGCTTGTTCTTTTTTTTAAACTGAAATCAATGACATGGAAATTTTTTTTTTAATTACCGAAATGTTTTTTGCTATATAACAGATTAGTTTCAAACACACTCTGTACTTTACTACACTGTCAAAGTTTATATGGAAACTAAGCAGCGCCCCTACCGGACGTAAGGACATACTAGCTCCTCCCATAGAAACTTTGACGATGGCGATACGAATACTTTCTCGCTAGTTATTCGTGCCTGGGGTACAGGTCACGTGTTAATAAAAAAACTTCTTTAATATTGAACAGGGAAGTTCACTAAGCTTTAAAATAATTCATGTTCAGGATTACTGGTAAAGATTGAACATTTATATTGGGTATAGTAATTTTAAAAACAAAACACGGTATGTTTGCGCACGCGTTTATTTGGCCGCATAAACCTGTGCTTAAGACATTTAAAAATCAACACAGGCGGCGTAACTCTCTTTTTTAGAAATTCATATAAGACTTTTTGTGAATAAAACTGTATAATAGACAGGATCACGTGTGCTGTGTCGCGGTCGGCCATGGAAATATGTATGCAAAACTCAGTTGGAAATGTATAATTTCACATAGAAAGAACTCTCACGTTGCCCGCATTCAAACCGCGTGTATCGGAACGTGATCAAGAGCTAAATACTTTTTTCTGTGCACAAGCAACCAGCCAGTGCTAATAAAGTTTAAAAAACGAAATAGAAAAACTATAGAAAAAAGTTTGCGAATCGTTAATGGCCAGCCACACTATACAATGGGCACTTTATTGGTGATTCTTCCATTGTTTTTTCTAGGATATCGAGTTGATAACGAATCGTTTTTCAACCTAGATTTGTTTTGAACACACTTCTTGCCATTTAATTCGACCTGTAACAGCTTAAAAAAGAGGTTTTGTCCATAACTGTTTACATAATTAGGTCTTTGCCAATTAAAGAGCATAGATTACGTCACCGAGGTTAACGACACAAATCGATTGATTGCCGATCGGAATTATGGCTTTTGTCAGAGTTTCTGCATTTCGTACACCACGTTAGCGTACACGTGAGCTACGTTGCGAAATCTGGTCTGAAACTATGCTGATTACCGATCATGCGTATTGTGTATCAAAAACGCTTTGCTAATTCTCCAGTTGCCAGTTGCCAGCGTGTAACAAGTGTTGAGTTATTGGTAAATCGCATCCTTAGATTACAAATAATTTATTTAAACTGTTCAGTCGAGCGCAAATACAAAACCGAACCCAGGAAGCGACTTTTGTAAATCCGGTGTAACCTTAAAATAGGCTTTGTGTAATACGTTCTATATTGAGTAACACGACACATTAATGAGTTTGGCTAACATGAAGGGAATAAAAAAGCGTTAAATGTGGCAACTTTATTTCACAAAGGTGATCCACGCGCGGAGTTGCAGCGCGGGATGTTGCGACAGAGAACGCGCGGTGGTTTTTGCAACCGTCTCGGTTTTGTAATCGCGACATCATTTAGATAAGTGCAGCGGCTAGCGTTTTTTTTATGTTACTGTAACACACGATCGTCTAATGTTCCTTTTTGTCTGTTGTTACAGAACCACAGTGAAGATCCGTGCGGACCGGAAGTCGTCCGCCGCAACATGGTCGCCGAGTTTATACTGAGTCAGCAGCAGCTGCTGAGCGGAGCAGGGGGCCCCGGCCTGGGCCCAGCGCCCCCCTCGGCCCGCGCCCCGCCGCCGCCCCGCGCCCGCCTCTCCGTCTCCCCCCACTTCCCGATGGACCAAGGCCCCTCCCCTAACGGACACCCTGGCGACCCTAATGACTACGGCAACTTTGACTTCAACAAACGTAAGGATTTCTTCGGCCAACGCAAGCAGCGTGAGTTCATACCCGACAGCAAGAAGGACGACGGCTATTGGGATCGCCGCCGGCGAAATAACGAGGCCGCCAAGCGTTCGCGAGAAAAGCGTCGATTCAATGACATGGTTTTAGAGCAGCGCGTAGTCGAACTCTCCAAGGAAAACCACGTGTTGAAAGCGCAACTGGATGCTATAAAGGAGAAATATGGAATCTGCGGCGAGACTTTGATCAGTATAGACCAAGTGCTCGCTACGCTGCCGACGTGTGACCAAGTCTTGTGTGTGACGAAGAGAAGTAAGCTGTCGAGCGGTGCTCTGTTCCCCGCGCCGCCCCCACCGCCGCCACCCCCGGCATCGCCCCCTTCTCCGCCCCCACAGCGTGCCCCGGAGCCTTACCCTGAAAGGCTGGCCGCACCAGAGGCGTACTACCCGCACCCCGCTCACTACGAACCCCCCGGTTCAGTCCTCAACCTATCGCGGACGCGGCGCGCCCCATCCCCCTACGAGTTATCTTCGCTTTCCGGCTCCGGATCCGGCGACGAGACCGCCGAGCAGTACGCCCCTGAGAACAACTGCCTGCCCCTAAAGCTGCGCCACAAGTCGCACCTCGGCGACAAAGATGTGGCGAGTGCGCTACTCTCCCTGCAACACATCAAGCAGGAGCCCGGTCCCAGGTCCTCCCCCTCCTGGGACGGTGAAGGGTCCAGTGATGAGCGAGACTCCGGAATCTCCCTGGGGGCTGAATACAGACCTCAACGGCCGGAAGACAGGCTCGTGGAGGAGGACGATGCGCACTTAAAAGCGGAGCTGGCACGACTGGCGACCGAAGTGGCCACGCTCAAGAACATGATGCACCAGAATAAAGCGCGCGCGCACGAGCACTGAGCGGAGCGAGCTCCCCTCGGAGTCAGCCCCGCGCAGACTGCGCCCCGCCGGCCCTGCGCCCGACCCTGGCGCTTGCGGCACTACGCGCGACTCATGTTCGTACAAACTGTCTCCACCCCCTCCCTAGTAGAAGTTACCACGTTGTAAAGAGAAGATATATTGTATCATATTGTGCAGCTGTAAGCGGCCGAGCCGTATCGCCTATCGTAATCCTTCCTAGTAATTATAAATGTCGTGGTCGATGTTAAGTAGTAGGGTAGACAGTGAGACACGCGCACCCGTGGATCCTATCTGTATGGAAAAAGAGACTAATTACATGTTCGGTTTAAAGACTTTTCGAGCAGATCAAACTCGTCTACTCAGTGATAGTTTTTAAATATGTATAATAAAAAGATGCATTTCTAGTGAAGAACTATGTTTGTATATGTTATATAAGTAAACGCAGTAGATCTGTTTCATCTATTCGAAGATTCGCTAGTGAAAAAATCGATGGCTAAAGACTACGTTCTATTAAGTACTATTGTATAAGTTAGATGCATAAGTAAACATAAGTCCAACATAGATTATTTATAAATAAAAAATAATGTATAGTATTTCTCAATCAGATTGCCCGTTAAGTTCCAAACCAAAAAAAAATATACATAATTATACTGATAGATCCTCATAAACAAAATCCTGTAAATCGCAAATTAATCGTAAGTAAATCACATGATGTTTGTCAACCAGATTCTATGATATAATCGGAATAAGAATACCAGTGCCTTTGACAATACATACCTAATTACCTAAAGGAATATTTTTGTACATTTATTATAAAAACAAAATGGCGATTTCACTGAATGGATATTATTCGAATAAGTCAGTCTGTACTATGCGCTGGCGGTCACCAATATGCTTTGTAAATAACAGTCTGTAATACGCTTAGCGCATTCATCACTCCAAGTGAGCTGGCTCATAGTCTTGGACATTTTAAATGTATCAAATCCTAAGAAAGCTAGTTTGAAAATATTGTGAATAAGTTACTCCTTGATACCCCCCATGAAGGGCATTGATGTGATAGGACTGAAAAGGAGTTATGATAAGTATTTATTTATTATACAGACCGAGATTGAGGATTTTACAATTTATTATCTTTGTATAAGAGACACTATACGATACGAATAAATTGTGTACATTACAATTATATTTCTGATATTTTATTTTCCACTACCTACCTTATATTAATATGAAAACAGTATGATTCAATGGGACCATCCTAATTTATGAAGTTGGATAAATTCTATAGAAAGTCTTAAAACAGACACTTTACCATAGGCGCTTATAACTTTGACCTTACTTCTTAATTTTAATTTCGTACGACAAACAAGCTTATTTATTTCCACTAAGTATTGCAGCATTACATTGTTCCGAGAATAAAATATTGTTGTAAGCGCTCTTGGTAAGACAAGTCTCTTTATTAAAGATTTTAAATAAAATTATGCATTGAACATACTGAAAAAAGAAGCATAAGTTAATCAGCTGCAAACTTTTTTAAGCAGAAACCAATAGTCTTATCAACAGGCAGATCAAACTGTGACCTAAAAATATGCTGGCAAATTGAAAAATAGGAGAAAGATCTTTGAATTTTGAGTTAGCTGAGAAACTTGCTACATATATTCCCTTTTTCTTAAAGTTATGGTAATGGGAGGAAAGGATACAAATAGCCCTAGATAGTTTGAAAGGAGAGGTATATGTAGTGCAGATTGACCTCATACGAGAGGTGTTAAATGTTTTGCAAGTTGACCCAGAACATGAGCAACCACCAAGGTTTTTAACAGTTTGAGAATTATTATTCTCTCCTGAAGCACGGAGCTGCTCGAGATAGTAAAATTGAAAAATCAACGAATAATTGAAATGACCTACCATTGCTTAAAAATAAAAAAATGGGTGCGTGTACTTAGTAGGCGCGTGAGAAGTTATCCTTCTTTGGCATCGTTTAAAATTAGTTTTTAATTGCATGCAAATAATTAATTACAATAAATTAATAAAAAGTCTGGAAAAGGACACAGTCAATAAAGTTCAGTTTTAATTTGAAAAAATAAATAAATAATCAAAATATTCAATTAAAATCGCTACTGAATATAATTTATTAGAACATATGTGATTTGCACTTGTATGAAACTCAAACACGTATTCCGAATATACAAACTAGAAACATGTGGATAAATATTATAAATATGAATACCTATAACTGTTACTTTATTACAAAAAATAAAGATGTGGTTTTTGGTTCTACTACACCAATGGTCAAGAGATGGCGCTGTAGTCTCCTGAATCGCGCTTTGGTTCCGTTGTTCCAGATTAATAAATACTTTTGATAGGCCTTCACAATGCAGTCGTTAGCACCCACTAAATAGAGATTCTATTTCTATTTTGTTGGTAGATTTTCTTAATGTGCGGTAAACACAAAAGTAATTTTGTGTTACAGTGATGCGCGCGCATCTTAAAATTTCACTCTCATATTTATTTATAACGCGCCTAAAGAAGTATAACTTCAAAAAGAAAATCGATATCAATCTTATACTATCACATATCGAAAATACTAAACCACTTCCTTCACAGCCGGCAACATATGAGTGGTAGGTACCCTTGGTGCTGCTAGTGTCCGTGAAAGTCCACTTAGCTGATGTTAAGTGGACTTCCATGTGGTAGACTGATAGCTCGTAAAGCTAACCACTGTACTAAAGACTCATCATCATCAATAATGTTGCCACTGCTGGTGCACATGCCTTCCCTGTAGATAGAATAGCACCGAAGCACGGAGAAGCTCGACACAGTAAAATTTTGGTCACCCATCCAATAACCGACCACTCCGAAAGTTGGTTAAATTCAGCGATCGCAGCTGAACGCGCTAGCATTCAGCTCAGCATCGAGCTCCTCGCCTACTAAAGATTCATCCTTCTTATAATTTAATACTAAAATTCCCTTTATATGTGGAAAAATGTTAAACGGCTGCTAAGTTGTTCATATTACAAAAGGCATTGTCCGATAACTTTTGATGACGCTAAGCTATTAAATTATCAAGCTAACATTAAATAAAATGTCACACAGTTTCTGATTACACGAGCGAAATGTCACATGCATTAATCATGGTGTTATCTGCGAAAGTGAGCGGATAACGAAAAATGTGCGAAATTTGATAGAAAAACCGGTAAATTATGGAAATAACTGTAATTGAAAAAGAAAGAGTAAGATATTGACGAATTAAGAATTACCACTTATTAAATAAAACAACTTTTTAATGAGTTTAAAATGGTTTCAGATCCTGTAGAGGATGCGAAACGTAATGTATAAAAGTATTAAAAAACGCATTCAATCAGTCAATCAATCACATAATTTATTGCATTCATGTAGTTACAGAGATGGTTAAATACATGTTATAAAGTACGTTACATGAACCCTGTCAGGGTATCGCAATACTTGGTGTTCTTGAATAGAATTTATAATCCAATATACAATGTAAATATTTTTTATTTTTTTTTGTATTTACGTAATATAAATATCTACTCAATCAATCATAATTAATATATTTCATCAATTATTCCATAAAAAAAATATTAATAATTAATTTGAAATGAATTATAAAATATTAATAAAATGAAAACCATGTACATAACAAATTACTAAATATAACCCACCTTAAAATCAACCGTAATCAATCACATATTATATATTTTAAAATCAGACAATCATACATTCCAATTAAGAATCGTATAAAATTATATTATATTATTATTATGTGAATCAATCTATCCAAAACATTCTTGTTGATAATATTTATTTAGACGTAAGGTACTGATCTATAGAGTAATAGCATTCATTTATCAAGAGCTTTTTTAATTTACTTAAATGAAATATGTTGATGTTTTGTTCATTTCTAATTTCTTCTGGTAGCTTATTAAATACTTTTATGGCCATATACTTTGGACTACAATTCAACATTTTGATCCTAGATGAAGGTAGGTGTAACCTATTTTTATGGCGAGTGTTTAGATTGTGTATATTACTTACTTTAATGAATGTATTTTTGTTTTTGAATACAAAGGTAGATATATCATATATGTATATTGAAGGTAACGTTAAGATTTCATATTTTATAAAATAGGGTTTACAGCTCTCTGTGTTATCTATATGTGCGAGAATTCTAATGCATCTTTTTTGTAAAATAAACAGTTCTTCAGCATCAACACTATTTCCCCATAACATAACTCCATACCTAAGCCAGGAGTATGCATATGCATAATAAGTAGAAATTGCAGTTTTTAAGTTGGTATGAGGAGCTCGATGGCGCAGGTGGTTAGCGCGTTCGGCTGCGATCGTTGTAGTTAAGCAACTTTCGCAGTGGTCGGTCATTGGATGGGTGACCAAAAATTTCTATCTCGAGTTCCTCCGTGCTTCGGAAGGCACGTTAAGCCGTTGGTCCCGGTTGCATCTGCAGTCGTTAGCACCCGCCAATCCGCACTGGGCCCGCGTGGTGGGTCATGGCTCAATCTCCCTATTCCATCCATAGGGAAGGCCTGTGCCCCAGCAGTGGGAACATTAAGAGGCTGATGATGAAGTTGGTGTTACATTTTATTTGAAACAGCGCATAAGTAAACTTCGATAATTTGGCTTTAATATGTGCAACATGCTTCTTCCAATTTATGTTTGTATCAATGTTAATTCCAAATTGAACAAACAAACCCATTGAAAAATTAGAACTTTAAAGCTGTAACTTGTTTTCCTTTTAGTGTTAAATATTAAGAAGCTCAATAACGCCCTTTGCAGGAGAAGGACAGATAAGCAATATCCCAGATTAGCAGAATAACAGATTTGCATAAAGGCCGAAGTACAGAGCCACACAAAAAATAACATTAAATTTTATTTGAAAATATTAATGAATTCATATTGTTTTAAACTTTCATGGTCACTAACATTATAGCTATTAACGGGATTGTTACCATGTACACCTTGTTTTTTATGAGTCTCCGATATTTCGGCACTGTTGCAATCGCCATGATCACGGAGTAACTGAAGTAATTGCGGGTAGATGTTATTGGCAGACATATCGGTCTACCCTCTGAAGTCGTCTTTTACTGCGCTCGATACCCCTGGTCACATTCTCACTATTCACTCGCACCTGTTCCCGACCCACAATACTCACAGTATCAGATCGTGCAACGACACTTTTTTGATTTTTGCGGTTTTTACACATACGAACCACTGGATTCCAGACATTTGACAATTTAAACCCATCCTCACGATTGAGATTTTTTCTTCATGATTTTTTCTTCAAAACCAGTATTTTGGGGGGATTTCGTGTACGTTTTGGGTGGAAGGTGAAATGGCTTTCTGTTAACACTGAATTACCTTCTAAATACCACCATTCATCAAAAATATTCAAATTGCTCATAATAATATTGTAATTAAGGCTTTCATATGAGAGCCCACATTCGGTGAGGTAGCGTTCGATTTACAATAGCTACAAATTTATCCTTCTGGCTACAATTTTTTAAATGTTTGGCTAAATCTTTATGTATACGAAACCCAGGTTTTCTACAGTGGCCTCTAGAAGGGAACACACATTATACAACATCTCCTTTTTGTATTTGCTCCATGCCCTTTAAATTCTAGGGTAAATTTTTTTCTTTAAAATAGCTAAAAATATCTTTTGTGATTTTGAGACTCCATTGGTTATTAAAAATACTTTTGTAATAATGGAATAGAATATTGAATCTTTTTTGGCGACGACAAGACATTATCTGCCTTTATGAAAATCTGTACTGCTGCTAATCTGGGATTTTGCTTGTCTGTCCTTCTACTACAGAAGGCAATGACTTAGTGGTAACAACTTTCGCAGTGGCCGCTCATCAGATGGGTGACCAAAAACTTATTGAATCGAGTACTTACCTCAGTCCTTCGGAAATCAAGTTAAAAGTGTCAGAAATGAAAAATAAAAAAACGAATTTGTAGGTCTGGACACGCTCTACAAGTTTTATTTCAAACATTTTTCGATATCTTTCACCAGAAAAATGTAAATAGCGAAAAAAAAATTCTCCCCAAATTTTTGATATTTTTGATCGATATCTCGAAAACGACGATCGATACGTGAAAAATGCATGGGAC